AAAGTTTTCATAATGAGTTTTATATTAAAAAAACAACAACAAAAAAACAGAATTGACAGTACTAAACATCATCCATCAATGAGTATATTTTACTGTACTGCCATTGCATTACAATGTACAAAAGCCCAATGTTGTCACACTTTCTAATTTTAAAGTTTATATGTTGCAATTATCATTTTTGTGTAGATGGAGAAGACAAACACGTCTAAGACCAATCGGCCCACAAGGAGCATTGCGTGGTGATGTCTTTTACTTTGCACCCTGTGGCAAGAAACTGAGAACTTATCCCGATGTAACAAGGGTAAATAATGAGTTTGATATCATTATAATTACCACAAATTTCTGGTCACTTACTACTCTTGATTACCAGTAACTTTAACATTCAATATTATCCAGTCATCATGCAACCTATATACAGTAGTCCCTATTATCAATAAACGGCTGCAAACTTGAATTCTATTGTTTTCAGGATCAATTCAGGGTGGGATTTTGAGATGCTCTTGGGGAGGGGGGGAAGGGGGGGAGGGTTATGCAAAAAATATGTACGTACATGTGCAGGATGTACAGCTCTAAGAATGCTATGAGAGTGAATGTTTTTGAAGCACTGAATTATCAGAAAAAGAAACTTTTCAGTACATTTTCATGTAATGTAACACATTCTTTTATTCTATTGAAATCCAATTATTTCTTTAAAATCCAAAATGGACACTGTTTTACAGTATTAAGGTAGGGCTGGAAACTTCAAGCGAATTCATATATTTACCATGAAGTTGATAAATTCGTCATTTTGTTTATGTTTTTGGAATACTGTACCAAAAAGAAAACAGCAATAACAAATGTCTGACCACCGATGAATTAAATATTTCACTTTGGTAAAACTAATTTATAAATGACATTTCAGGTCTGATTTTTGTCAGAATACTTCATATTTTCTAATAAAGTTCTGCCATTTTTTCAAAAATCCAGGAGATGTGGTCAAAAATCTTGAMAATTTTTATCTYGGAGGTTGACAGCCTTGTAAGGTCTAGGACTCAATTTTAAACATTTTGTCAAGTTCTCTGTGATTTGATCCACTAAATTTAAAGAATACTGTATTTTKTAAATTTGGTGTCAAAGTTTCATATCTTATAGATAATTTAAATTCTCCCCATTAAATTCTAACTTTACAAAAACATAAAATAAAATAATGTGTTTTTTTAGTATTTGACAAACAACATCACCTATTTTACACTGGAGAACTTCAGCTTCAGCACCAAGCTTCACATTGGTGAAATCCTGGAATGGAAGGAGGTATGTTACAGTATTATCAATTTATGAACAACTCATTAATTCCCTATTGACCTAGTGATAGCCCTACTTCTTAAAATCGTGTAAGGTACAGTAAAGTGTAAGTTTTTTTATTCAGTATGAAAGTTAAGTATTATAAAGTTTGTAGCCAGAAATTTCTGTAAGCTTCAAAGATTGGTCCTTGAAAATTGAATGTTTGTGTTTAAAAGACACTTGAATTCCTACTAAAAGCACTTGAAGTTCTAGAATATATGTACAAAGGCTTCTTGGATGTTCAAGTTGTTGGGAAGTGTAATGTTGGGAAATGTGTCRATCRTATTCATACTTWAAACACAAGTTATTGCAGCTGAATTCCTTTTGTGGCTTGGTTTCTTCAGGGAAATACATTTGAGCTGTTAAGCCAGGAGGAGGTCCAAAGAAGGAAAAACGAAGCAGACAATAAAAAGAAGGTGAAATTGGAAAAGTTAGCAAAGAGAAACGAGAAAAAACAGCAAAAAATGGGTAAGACTTAGTGTTTCTTACATATTATGGTAAAAATCATGGTAAAGTTGCTGGAATATTTGTTAGCAACATTTGGTGAAATGGTAGCACTTTGTTAGCTACTCAAATAGCTACTTTTATAAATTGCTATTAATTGTATTTAAAAATATTCTATGATTTAACTATCATGGGAATCATTAGAGTTGTAAAATGTCCTGACTATTGGCAGTTGGTTTTTGTACCACATGATCAGTTTGTGACTTAAATGTGATATGTTTTCTGCAATATACATTGTAGTCAACTCTTGCCTTATAAACTCCCCACTTCAAACATCCTCTGTTTCAGACAGAAAAAAAAAACGAAAAAAAAAACAAACAAACAAAAAAAAAACCATTCCCTCCCAGAATGCAAAGAACACTCCTTAAGTAACTCCTGCTGTTAAGGACCTATGTTAATGGGCAATCATAGGGATACAAATTTTGCAATCTAGTATGTGAATGTCTTAAAAAATTTGAAATTAAAATGACAGCACTTATGTTATTGGCAAGGTCTAAACTTTCACTCAAATCAAATATCTTTGAACCACTTGACACTAAGAATACTAACATGTATGTGATACATGATTAACTGGAATTTCTCTGGATGTTTTACAATTCTAGTGCTTTCCTAAGCCTGACCTTACATCAACTGTACATGTTAAACTGTATGTTCAAGACACTATGATTACATAGTCATTCCATAGTCTTAAATCTAACCTTAAAGTCTTAACTTGACCACTGCAGTAACTGATAAGACCCCTTTACACTTGCGATTTTTGAAGTGTGATTGTTGCGCAACAATTGGCTGAGTTTTGGACATGCTTGAAATTTAGCTGCAAMTCAACTGCAGGGCTGTTTACACGTACAATTTGAGGTGAGTGAGAACAAAGTTGTGATTTTCATGCAGCAATCACTGCAAAAATCGCAAGTCTAAATGGGCCTATACAGTGCTGTAACAATATTTAATTTTTACCATGCTTGTACATGTAAGTAGCCATATAAAGGCCAATTTAGACGGCACAACTTTTGACTACAACCATCGCATGCAACCCGCGTAARTCGTCCTTACATCTTGGCTACAACTGTCGTAGGGATTTAAAAACAATTGCTTAATAGCCCTACGACAGTTGTAGCCATGCTGTAAGGATGACTTAAGCAGGTTGCATGCGATGGTTGTAGGCAAAAGTTGTGCCGTCTAAATCGGCCTCGAGACTCTTCTTGGTAAGTTGGTATATTACACCTGGGATTCAAACCTCTAACCACTTGTTAGACTTTGACTCTCTAAGACCTGTTTCACACAATCATGGATTTTAAGGATACTATAAAAAAGATTAGAGCTTTGGAGCAATGGAAAATGTTTTTTATTGATTATACTTAGAACAAGAAACGTTTTTTCCTTTTATTTATATGAATGATTATTTGAATCAGGACTTGAAGGTGTCAAGATTATTTCAAGTTGTTATTTGTATATAGCAGAGTTCAAGTTCCTGCCCATCTTTATTTTACTTGGTTATTTCAAATAGTTGTTGTTGTTGTTGTTGTTGTTGTTGTTGTTGTTGTTGTTGTTATATTTATCCTAATTACATAGCTTCTGTAATCTTTTGTTACCATTTGAAGTCAACTGTATTGCACAACTGGATTACCATAAAACTGTTTTTAAGCACTCTTCTATCACTCTTCAATTAGGCTGTTTTGACTCATATTTCCTATTTCTCTCATTTTGTTTCTTGTTTTAAAGCATTAGCAATGGCGTCACAAGAAAGTAAGTTGAGAACGAAGCTTGAAAAACAAATGGCTATAGAAGCAATGAAAGCAAGCAAAAGAGAACGAAGTTAGTTGGATTGTGTTCTTTTCTGTTCTTTCTCTTTTCCTTTCTTTGTAGAATAATAATTAGTTTAGGTAACATGAACATCTTAGAGCAGATTTTTATGTAATATATAAAATATTAGCGGAAGATCTTCATGGGCAATAAAAACTGGGAGCTGCAAGCGAGCTGTTTTAAAGCCCATAAAGGTCTGACACAAATATTTTATATTGCTTATCAAATTCCAACATAAGCTAAAGTATATTTTGCTGAAACATCAAGGTAAAATATAATTTTTAAGAGAAAATCAAAGCTAAAGTTATATGCAAATCGAGACAATTCTCTTRCTTCTTCTCTTGGTGTGGTCAAAGCAATGATTTTTCATTGTGTTTACCTTATGAATTTGATAATGATACTCGTACATGTATGTTGACAGTTTGTCTACAAATTGTGCAAAATATATGTACARCCATGTAGCATTATTCTTAAGAGTGTGAACTTGACTACTAAAATTAGTCCTGGTCAATGACTCAATGTTATGACAATTTTGCTATGGCAACTATTATAATCAAGGTATGGTTCTGTTAAATCGTTTCACACTCGTAAGATTGCTTGGTCATCAAAAAATGTGCTCTAAGATTTAGAATTCTAATATACAATTAGGGTATTGTAAATGAATGGTAGTAGTTAAATGTGGGTTCAGGGTAATATGCTATTGGGTTGGAATTTATACTGATTATTACAGTAAGCATTGTGTACTTTTTCCATTACATTTTTTTTGTTAGGGAATTCAGGGAAAAGAGACACTTTTTCTTTGATAAAGATTGATATTTACAAAAGCTTAGCCATTTTACCAGTGCAACTCGAAATCATGTCAACATTTCTCAAATCACAAACTTCAACTTAGCAAGCAAAGMATTTTTTTAAACTCCTATGGCTTTTGAGATTCCAGTCTTCATTTCCTATCCTCCCATTTTTCTAATTAAATCTATAAAGAAGTCTTTTTGCTTGAGTTGGCAAGGTTGGCTAAACATTTGTATGTTCTTTTCATCGATCACAGCTAATTACCGATAGCACTTTCTTTGCTGGGACACAATAAATAATTTTAATATCTAGTTTACAAGTATGCGTTACACTGTTATCATTTCCAGTCGAAGCGCGGAAAAGGAAGAAGGTTGAGCGCATGCAGGCGATTCAACAAGCAAGGCAGGCAAAGAAAGAACAAAGTATGTAGACAAATCTAAAGACAAAAAATAGAGTTTTTTTCCCTTCTTGAATCAAAATAATCTTGTTCAATGCCAACACTTTTCCTTTTCCAACTTTCTGAAATCTTTCTGCTTTCCTGAYCTATGGCAGTGTTTTTGTGTTTGATATGTTGATCTAATTATTATATTGTTGTAAGTTACTATACAATTATTATGATGACTTGTATGTTTGTGTGTGTAGTACGTATGCGCAGAGAACAGAAAAAGCTAGACAAGGAAAACTTGAAACAGCAAAAGCGCATGGTAAGAAGATTGTACTGTAGTACTGATTCTGTTTTGTTCCATTTGGTTTGTAAGTTTACTGTACAYGCATGCTGTAGCAATTGCATGACATTGCAGCCTCAAAGAATTCAARCTGTCTGCCACAGAACACTTTTTAATTCATGTATAATTATGCATTGTTTATTCAAAGGAGAAACTGAGAAAGCAGGAACAGATTAGATTAGAAAAAGAGCTGAAAGCTCACAAAGCACAAGAGGTASCGTATTGTATTAAACATCATTAAGTAATATTAAACGATATTAAATATTTAAAAAGATGTTTGTAGGCCGGATGTAACTTCATAGTGTACTCTGCTACATCAGCTTTTTGTTTGAATGTGTTTAAGCTTTGACCTACGCGGTGATCTTCAGGGTTACAATGAATCTCGTTACAACTGGCCTGAAGGGGGATTAAAAAGAGTCGTAGAAGTCCCATATTTGTTAGTGTGGAGAACTCCTGTATCCCTTATCCATCCACAGTTAGATCTTATACAAATGTTTTGTATTAGGCAAGGCGATCCAAGAAGAGAGATGTTGCCAGTGCAAAATATGAAGAGGCTGTAAAGAAAGCTAAGGTATTTCAGCTATTACACGCATTTTATTTCTTTTCAGTATTTCTAATACAATCTATGTTAATGTAATTTTAGGACAGGGAGCTAAAGCGACAACAGGCTCTTCTTCTTAAACAGCAAGTGAGTTTTTAGAACTTTCAGTTTTTCCCGGGGTTGATTGGTAATGTTTTGTCTTAGTTCCTGGCTTCATATTGAACGAACCTCTAAGCCTCCAGGGTTAATTCATAAGCTATTTATTTATTAACTTATATTCCATAAATTCATTTGTACCTTTTGTTTCACTCATTTCTCTGTGGTTAGATCAATATGCTTTGATACAGTTAATCCCATTAACATTGTTGTTAACTTGCAAGCATTAGCTTCACTAAAATTGAAATGGAAATGACTTTGTTGTTGTCGTTTTGTCTTTAGAAGTGAACAACGTTAATGGGATAGTTGACTTGAGAATTTTACCTCAGTAGTCACGCACAAAGGAATGAAGACGAGGTGCCATGCATAAAGCTCAGTCATTTGTGAAAAGACAATAGTTTTTCACAATTCGCTGAGCTTTTACGCACAGTGCCTCGTCTTGATTCTTTTGTGTTTGACTACTAAGAATAAATTTGCAAATCGGCTATTGACTTTGTATGTTCGATAAAGTGTATATTACTTAAAGCTCTGATGAAACAGCTAAGAAATTTGTTCTAAGCATAATGTGTTWCTCTCACAGGACAAAGAGCAAAAGCGGCAACAACAGATGATGATAAGAGCTTTGGAAATTCAAAGAAAAACAGAAGAGAGAGAAAGGCAAAAAGAAGAAAAGCGAATGGAGAAAAAACTGATCAAAGAAAGAAAACTAGAGCAAAAGAGAAGAGAAATGATTCTTGCTCGTGAGTTGAAAAAACCTGTTGAAGACATGGTCCTCAGAGATGCCAAGGTTTGTTTTCTTTTATTTGTTTTCGTATTATTATCTTTATTAAAGTTTGGTCTGTGAATTGTACTATTTCATATGATGTCACTGAAAACATTCTATCAACCACTTGCATGTGACATCAAAGCAGCTTCACCTGGAGGACAAATTAAAGGATTTTTTKGGGAACTAGAATCCACTGTTTTGTCCTCCAGTTGGAGTTGCATTCCCACGATATGCAAGGGTTCTATTGTTTTAACGCTGAAGGATTCTTGTCACCATTAAATGTATATGACTAATCCTTGTATGTAACGTATTATTATCGAAACTGCATAATTTTGGAGAGATTATAAATTGGTCCAAATATTCAATGTTTTTGCACACCTTTCCCAGATGTAAAAACATACTGTGGCATCATAATAAAAAGGGCAAGTGTAGAGAAAAATTACTATTTTTTTTCTWATCAATAATTATAATATTATATCCTATAAGGAATTACCAACTCTCCCAAGACTGGAGAAATGCATCATATCAGGCAAAGCTTTTGCTGATCTGCTCATGGTGAAGGAGTTTGTGGAAAACTTTGGAGAAGCCATTGACATAGGTAAAGAATTCATTCATTGAATTGTCAGGAAATTCAGGGACATTTTTTGTATTTGACATAACTATACTTGTTTGATCACTGATCCATTATTGTACTGAAGGAATGCAGCTCTGCCTTGGGAACAAAAAAACCTATTGATTTCAGCTCTCAAGGCAGTCTCTCCCCCACCCTCACCCCCCAGATTAAGCTGTTTGGGCCAAACCATCCTCCCCCAGATGAAGCATGAAAGTGATCAATTCTGATCTTTTGCCATTTAAATGAATATGAAAATCTTCAATGGAGCATGACCAGCTTCAGTTTTTAATAATTGTTTTTGTTTCTCAGATCCCTCTACTGAAATACCAAGCATTACAGACATGCAATTGTGTCTTCTGAACAAAGGAGAAGACGTCTTGCTTCCACTATGCCAGTCATTGTTAGCACAAGCTCTAGATGACCCTGGATGCGATGGACCATATGTAAGTTAAAAGTAAAACTTTTCCTAATTTATTGTTGTTGTGTTCATGATTTATCGTGTTTTCCGAGTGCTTCTTCGTAGTCCACCATAATAAATTGTGATTCTCTATTACTGCAGCCTAATATGTGTTTTGTGACCTGATTCCAGTCTGACCTTGTATCTCAGCTCATAGGTAGTACAAATCCGAATGTCGTTGGTTTGAATCTCAGTGGAGTTTGAAATTGATTGTTTTTTGCTTAGAATAATCCACTTCTGTAGCACCATGACTTTCGATCATTTGTATTTCTTAATAAAATAAATTGTAACAAGCAGGGTTGAAAAGRAAGTCTATGTAATTTGTGCTGTCGTTGAACACATTAAAGGGTGATTTTAAGTGATTTTGTTTTCATTTATAGTCTGTGACGTCTCTTGGCCATCATCTGCATAAAGTGGAGCTGAMCGAAAATAATGTSTCTGAGATTCTACGATTGTTCATTTTGAGTAGAAGCGCTGGGGAACATGAAGTGAGTACATCTTCATGTGTTTAGTTCTTTTTTTGAGTCATACAAATGTTCTTTTTTTTTCTCCTTCTATTGTTTAATAAATCCTATTTAGTAGTGTCTAGCACTATTTATTTAGTACTATTTGCTGTTTTTGGTGTTTTTACTCTGGGCAAATTTCAATTTTCACAAATTTCACTGCTTTACCAAACAAGTTAATCATAAATTGCCAAAAAGGAATTATTGTACTCAATAATAGTTTTACAGGGATGCCCTGACCTTCATTTGCATTGTGTACCCTATAGGAAAATTTTGCCTTTCCAACTTCACAAGCCATAAAGAGATTTATATTAACTTTGCACAGTCTTTGTGTCATTTCTATGAATAGGATTCTAAGATAAAAGACTATTTCTTGAAAATAACTTTTCCCTTTTGCACTTAGTTGGCAGATTCCCTTTTGACCCAGCCATTCCAGTCATTGTCTTCGATTGAGAAGATTGGCACCTTGGCATTCCTTTGTAATGAACTTCTTTGTAGCAGGACAATATGTGGGTATGTGCAGTTTAGTTATTACACTTCCAAGTGATTCCTCAAGCTATCRTTTATTACYTTTATATTATACCCGGCATYTGTTGTTTAGACTCAAAGTCTTTCAAGATAGCAGGCTTGTTTTCTGGCCATATATAAACCATAGTTTTTATCATGAAACCCGCCAATCAACGCAAGTGTTTTTTAAGCTATGATATAAATTACTTATAACCAATACTTTAGTGAACTCAAGAATATTTATTAGAATTCCATCTTTATCCAGCTACAATGTATTCAATATCATTGTAGCTAGCAGATCGGCTTGGCATATCAAACATTTTATTATGTTTTTACTTAATTTGATGTATTGTTTGTTTACAGAGAGATTGAAAACAGTATAGAGAACATGTCAAATTTGMGAAAAGACAAATGGGTCATTGAAGGCAAGATACGAAAGTAAGTAAAATGCCTTTTTYCCCWTTTTTTCAATTAACAMATTTGAAAGCAACAAGCATTTTCATTTAAAGGACAAAAATAACAGAATCGGACAGCTGATGCAAGCATATATGAATATTGTTGTAAAATTATTCCTTTTCTAAATTGTTTTGATCCATTCTGAAACAGACTTAAGGCTATCCAAGCMGAAAAATACCCCGTTGTTAAAATCAAGAAACCACCAGGACGACCAAGAGCTGATGCATCATTGCACAATGAAAACAGCAAAGATTCAATGTCAGTAGCAGAGAGTAATCAAGGCAATGATGATGATGATGACGAYGAAGAGGAAGAAGATGATGACGATGAYGATGATGATGATGAAGGCGGAGGTGGTGACAATGGTGGTGATGGCAGTGAAGAGTCTGATGAGGAGGATGTAAGTACTTGAAATATAGTTATTTTTTATTTTTTATTAAACTCATTATAATTTGACTGATTGATTTGGTGATTCTTCAGTATGATGCTGAACCCCAGTCACAGGAGGAACTGGAAAGAAAATTGAAGAAACTTGAAAAGGTAGCATTTCCTATAGAATCAATATTGGAACAGTTACATTTCTTAAAAGTAAAATTAAATCTAGTGTTCATTGTTACCTTTGGATTRATGCGGTTATTTTTTTCAATTCTTTTCAGAAACATGCACAATTTCGTCATAAGCTTTTYAATCATTCACACTCACTCAGGGCTCTTAGCCTTGGACAAGACAGGTTTAAACGTCGCTACTGGGTGTTACCACGCACAGGKGGTGTCTTCATTGAAGGAATGGGAAGTGCAGAGATAGAAGGACAAACGGACATTGTGAAAGAAGGTGAAGAAGTTCAAGGAGATCGGGAGAGAGTTGAAAAGATGGACATCAATGCAGCCATTAAAGAAGGAGCTCGTAGCAAAAAAGGAAACCTTTTCAACGATGCCCTTGTAAATAGTTCACTGAATGTCTCAGGACTTGATAGCTCTGCAAACTCTTCTCTGTGCACATCCACATGTTCTACTCCGCAGTTCATTAAGATGGAACATCTATCGAATAGTAGTCAACACAACAAGAACAGTGCGTCTCAGGGCGTATGGTTTGGTTTGCTACCACGTATGCCNGGACGGTTTAACGTAGTGTTTTTGTGTTAGTTTCCAGAGTATTACAAGATTATTCGCAAACCTATGGACTTCCATACCATGAAAATCAAACTTCGTGACTATCAGTAAGTAGTAGTTAGAGTACAAGAAAGACAATGTGGATTTAGAGAGAAAAAACTTTATTTGTGAACAGGACGAACTGTGAACAGCAATAACTTTCGTACCTTGGACTGTACTGACACAAAGTTGACCGGTCCTATGTAAACGTTGTGTAAGCCCTCGCATAGGAATTATAGCAAGTACTACAGAATTGAACGTTTGGATATCGTTATGAATTATAGTAAACCTGTTCTTTTTTTTAGATACACATCTCGTCAAGAGTTCGTCGAAGACAGTCGTCTTGTGTTTCGAAATTGCAATGAATTCAATGAAGATGATTCTGAGGTAAAATATTCAAACACTGTGGTGTGTGTTGGAATAGTTCTAAGTAYATTGTTTGTTTGTAGGTCGGACAAGCAGGAAAACGAATATCTGTATTCTTTGAACATCGCTGGAAGGAGTTAATAAACCAGGAAAGCTAGGTGTGTTTTGGGGAACCAACTTCGACAAAAATGTGTAATCGTTGAAAACATTTATGATTTTCAAGAATTTGTTCGTAAAATGCCTAAAATGAAAATTCCACTCTTGAGTCTCCAGCAGGGGGTTCAGTGGCCAACCACCCGCCCCTTCTGAACCAGACCGTGTACACTTTTGTTGTCTCCATTGGGCATGACCTATTTATGTGGGTGTACTCCTCTTTTCGGGTGACCTGCACCCCTATACTATCCTAGCTATCCTAGATCCGCCCCTGAGTTCTTATATTTCAGATTATTAAGCCTAGTTCACACTAGAAAATTTGTCGTGCAAAATGGGAATGGTTTTTTTCGGCGATTTTATCGCAAACCGAAATATCGCGCGTGTGTTTACACGACAAATGTTGCTAGTGCAAATAAAGGTGGTTGGTTGCTTTTATTGTATCGTCACGGTTAAAACTCTTTACTGCCTTTTTTTTAACTCGAAGATTGCGAAGCAATCGAAGAGTTATTGAAGGGGGATTATCTGTCACTCACTCATTCGGTCATTCACTCACTCTATCACTTTCCTGTAAACTTGAGCCTGCGTTACTTGTGTTCAGAATTATTAATTTATTCTAATTGTTTTCTAGTTATTCCCGCCGATAGAAGAAGTGTCGAAGTCTGCATATGATCTGTTCGCCTTCAAGAATACAACAACATGTAGGAATGACGCMAAGCGATTCTGGTCATATCGAACACAACAGCAGAACAGTGCAATGATTTTTTTAAATTACGCTCTCATAAAAACTAAGTATGGAACGATCTCGTTCGCCGAGGTCAATAAATTCTACAATTTTTTAATAAATGTCCAATTGCTCTAGTTTTATAAGTGAAATTTTTGTGAATGGGTGACCTGCCCTGATGATTTGAATATTGCATAAATTATCTTTATAAGTTGGACATCTACGTGTGAAAAATATCTCGTCTTGTTTTAGTTTTTCAAAGAGTCTTGTACATATATATCGTATTTAAACCTYGTCTTGTATAGCACTGTTTTCTAAGGGATTTGTATGATTGTTACAATATAGATACAAATAAATAAGAAGGATTTTATGCGCATTGTGTTTTTTTGTCTGTGAAAGATGCCTACATAGTAAATCCCCTAGGGGGGCTGGAAAAGTGGTGTTTAATCCCACTKTGAAGTGCGCTTGAAAGATTTGCGAAAAGACGAGTGGACGAACCGCAAACATCAAGCATCAATTTTTCATCTATTTATCACTTTAAGCTTTTTTAGCCTCCGTAGCAGACGTTCTTAGCGGTTCGATTCTCTCTCTGCAACCGCTAAGAACGTCTGCTACGGAGGCTAAAGCTTTTTGCTCTCTTTGCAATATTTTGAAAAGCCTCGAACTGATTACAATTGAGGTACACTTGAGGTTTTTACTCGAATAGCTTTTACGTCGTGGACCATAAATGCAATGCATTGTAGGGTATGTTAGGGACAGAACATTGCTGATTACTTTCGTTTTCTCTAGAAACTGATCCCACAATGCATTGATAATCAAGTAGTGACGTAAGGTTCAGATGTCTATTGCCCTATGGTATAATGACGTCACAGTATGTTTACATTGTGGATAGATGCTCAGAAAGACTCGAAATTTTGAACTATTAACATTCTTTCCGAAAGTAGAACTTTAGTGTATCGAGTTTTGATGTAAAACAAAAGAATGTTTTCCTGTGACTCAATTCTGTCATACTGAATGTGACAAACGCTTATAATACTGGCACTAGTATTTTTATTGGTTGATACCTTGGGTTAGTGTCGTTTTCAATAAATTACATAGTAACACCAGTGTGAATAAATGCAGCCACAAAACCAATCGCAAGACAAGCAAACATTTTGTTCAGTTCCTTGCGTTTGGTTTGGCGCTAAATCATGTAAATTGGGTCGCGGCTTTCACGCGGTGTTCAAGCGATTGTTCCTGACGTTGGGTAGTGGGTTTGGGTCATAAGATAATTTCAAAAATCTGAATCGTTATTATTTTATTTTATTGAAAAGTTTCACCGAGATTTAGTTTACAAGAGGCAACATGTACATTTATATAACTTGAACAGTACAATAATTGGTGATTTTTCGTCGACTTGTAAAATTTTAAAAGAAAGGCTATCTTTTTTTCCCATTAATTCTATTTTTTAAGCTTTCTTTGTAGAAACGTTYAGTTTTAGTTTGGTTTAGAAAAAGTCAAAACATTTCAGGAAGACTTTTTTAACGTAATGAAGTCCGAGGATTCACAACTACCATATCATGCTTTGCTGCATAGAATGGCGTCGCTGCACATTGCTTAAGTTCGCAGTTCGTGCACGTGTCCTTCAATCGGTTGTCATTTTGTGCAACACGATTGAGCGACGCTGTCTGTTTTATGAAATAGGCCACTTTTTTTATTTAGTGAATGAARACATAATTATAAGATAGCTATTATTAGTTTTTTCTGACTTCCCATGACCTTTGACGAAATTGCATCCCGGGATTTTCCATGCCGGGAAAATTTGAATATAAAAACCATATGACTTCCTAAGTTCAGAACCCATACACACCTTGTAATGTACTACCCGTTTCTAATTATTCAGCTGGGTCAACGCAACATCAAAATAGCCCCCTCAGGTACACGAAATAAAGTCTTATCGGGATGAACGCGTTGGATATTTTTTCTTATATGTATGCTGAAGAGACAAGAAGAAGAAAGCGGACTTCTGGAATGTTTTGAGTATATGTACGAATTTTAAAAGTATACAAAGCGTCTTTTATTTTAATCCCCTTTTTCTTGTTCAAGTTCTTTATCAAAAAGCAGTAAAGCCAACTGCGAGCGAGATGCCATTGCTTCCGCCTTCTTCTCCAAGCATTCACTTTGGTCGTTGGAACTCTTTTTTGGACAAGACTTTTCTTGATACTTCTTGTGTAAATCCACATCAACAGCGCGGAAAATRTGAAGTTTACTATTAATAAATACTTTCATGAAATCTTTAGGATGATATTCGGTTTCTTTTAAAAACTCTTCACTGTGGACTCGATTGTCCTTGTAGTCCTTGTTGTTAAAACACACCAAGTCRAATGTGTCGGTAGACCAATGGCCTGTATCTCGATGTACATGAATTTCGTCTGGATATTTTTTGTCGCGATAAATGATATCTGGGTCGTAGTGAGAAAAGGGAATAGGGAAAAACACCTAGAAAAAAGAAAAACAAGATATGAAGCAACGAAAGAACAAAATAAGGGATTTTCTTGAGCAATTGCTCACAGAGCAACTTTAGGACAATACAGCGAAGCCATTTTGTAGAACAGCATGATGATGGGGAATGTACGCCGTAGAGCTTTTTCTCTCCCACAAAATAGCCCTCAAAAGTTAGGATGTTGCTTTTTCTCTGTRTTTTGCCGTTTCTGCACGGAAAATACAAAACAAAAATGGCGGRCATGAAAAAGTGTGGGGACTATATTACCCATCATGCTCTTTTGTACAAAATGGCGTCGCTGCACATTGACAGAGAAGGCATTTCGTCTACGAGGTATCCCCGTGTAGTTCGAGCCTTTTATAGAACAGTACCTGCTGGCCATTCAGMGCGTTAACRCGGCATCGATTAAGAAAACCAATAGTAAATTCGACATCAAGAGATGTCAGGAAGATCAGAGCGTTGGAAGGTAGTTTCATAGTTACAATGTCCATCAGCAAAGTGAGAGAATTATACTGCACGCCTATTTGTATCCATGGAAACTGAGCCCAAGTGTATTTTTGCTTGTAYCTGAAAACAAGATTCATTTTAAAGACGATTTTACATTGGGACATTTTCTCTTTTCTCAACAGCTCGTTTCGMRGCGGCGTTGGGAAACACGATGRAGATGTCCATTGCACAGTGTAAAAATGACAGGGATTKTTGAGAAACTCACTTCAAAGTAGCGAAACGCGATCGAGCTGATCGAGAGATGATACTCCGTGYAATGGCGTTATAAGTTACTGCATACTTTGCAAAAAGTGTTTCCCAACACAGCATGCAACGRAAACAGCGGCAATARCGGAACACTTYTACACTGCACAATTTTGCGTTTGAGTTTTTAAYTGAAATACCAGTGCGAATTTGAGACTAAAAGCAAAGGTACTTTTCACAAACATACAGCAATCACCATACCTTGCAATCACTGCTTTGCCGTCAGCAAACTTATCCTGCGTCTGACTATCATCTGCGTCGTCCCTGACATTCACAAACACCGTTAACAACACGACATTTTCACCAGTTTGTAAACATACTTTCTGATACATCTTGAGGAACAGTTCGAGCTTCTCGACTTGCCCTTTAAGAACCGGTACAACCAAGTGCACGCCACGTTGTTCAGTTGTCGCCGTCATTTTTATACTCTCAACTTTGGTAAAAGGTCTTAGCATATGAACACGACGCCGTTCGACGCCACCGCTTTGCGTCGTTAGCTGCATATCTAAGATATACTCAGCGCCGCGACAAGGATCCACACGACGATAACCGTTTATAAGATGTGCTTTTTTGCTCGGGTCTTCATGTGTAAGCATTCTGGCTGCCGTTTGGATCACCTCTTCCGTGTCCTGTTTGAAAGCCCCTTCGAGTTTTACTTGTGGGTTAACCTCTGTAAATCCATACGACACGTTATGGTTGAAGTATTCCCATTGGATAACTTCAAAACGAGACGATGGTTTGAAGGGCTGTGGGAAACCTATCGGCCATGATGGATGCTTTTCCGGGACTCCTACATACAATATGAGATCATGATTATATTATATCATATTTGGCTGATTAGAGAGTACTTAAAATCTACTACTTCTATCAAGCACCCCGTTGCTTGTTGCATCTAGAGCRGATTTCGTATGAGTGGGACACCGTTACCGCACGGTTACCGCACAGTTACCGCACCTGGCCTGCAGAATTTTGGTGAAACAATGGGGCACTAGAATTTGGTTACAGTACGATTACAGTCACAGCACAGTACCGTCCGTTTCCCACTCATACGAAATCCGCTCTATTATACAAGGTGTGCAAAAACGTTGCGCAATACCAAGCGGCATTGCGCTAAAAAAATGACAAAAATGGCGGTCAATATAAATCTGTAAAGATACTCAAAACAATTATATCAAGCCACCTTAAAATCAAGTGACGTTTTTACGTAATCGTCTAATGAACTATTTTCATAAAGCAGCAGTACAGTGAGGGTACACTTGCTAGTAGAAGCGCATTAATTGTTTTAAARCTTTAAAAAGTTTTACCGAGGTTACTAATGACCATTACTAACCTTCTGGTAACATTGGTAGCATTTCCTTTATTGCAGTCTGCAGCATTCGCGTTTCGATGAATGTTCGATTTAGTTCAAGTTCAGTGTAGTACCGATGGACTTGGTAGAAAATTAGGGGGTCATGTAGAGGGGACAAAGTCAAGGCGTGGTTCACCTGTTTCTCTTTGATAAGGGCAACGAGGTCCATTCGTTTTTCATCGGGTATTTCGTAGAACATTTCAGACGCCTAGAAATTAAAGGACAACAATGGTGTTAGAGATTCAATTATTRCCCCCATTTGCATCCAAAATTTCTTTTTATTTATTTATTCATTTATTTTTTGGTTTTTCTTTTACCCCATTTTACAAGTTCTTTTCGTCAAATTTGTGTTATATTAGTAAAAAAAAAACAACTTTACGTGATGGAGAAATAGAGCCTAGAGGTACTTTATAGATAATTATATGATAAATTACATTTTAAAATGTTTACTTTTTAGCCAAGATTTGTTATCTTCCTCCATATATTTTTATCCGTGGGGCGCCAATAGGTCTTTTTTTTAGTTTCAAAAAAGGGAAGAAAATTTAATTTCAAAAAGCCACAGCGACTCAAAGAAATGGGCGGACAAGATTTTGGTTGTCACTAACAACAGTTGAGGCACTGCTTGAGTCGTTTTGATTAAATGACTATTAAAAAGACATCTCATGAAAAAATCGCGTCTAAACCATCCACACATTCTCCGAGGGGAAAATAGAATTTTTGAGCAAATAAATGAATAAAAAACAMCAACMACCACAAAAACTTGTTATCGTCAAAACCTGTTGCCAAGCAATTTGATTTTACATTATACTATTGCTGAAGATTATAATGGTATTTCTTTGTATTCAAGGTGTCTTATTCTAAATAGAAACTGAATACAGCATGCAACATTACAAAGTTGTAAATGCGTGAGCCTGACAAAACTAAAGTTGCCAACATCAGATACGAATATAGATTATAATTATTTCTACTTAATAGCTAAATTCACTTAGTACCATTCAAATAACAAAGCAACAGAAATGCAAATACAAGAAACAATACCTTGTTAATGCCGTTTGAATTAAAATTATAATATATAGCAAAACAAGACGTATGGTGGCAACTATTTTCTAAAAAGTAAAAGGCGTTATAAATAATACCCACAAGATATATAATGACACTATTCAGTCCACCTTACCTCGTATCCCCAAGTACACTGTACTCCAAGCATATTATAAATACATCTTCCAAGCTCTTTATCGTCGCTTTCTGTTGTTGAATCCTCTACACAGCTATCTAAACTTGAACCAAGACTGAACAATGTTGTCCTAGATAGAACAACTCCAGTTTTACCAAGACAGTATTTCTCACTGTTGTACAAATCACCCTTCGTGTTGTGAAATCTTTCTGAGTGGCTGAACGAAGCAGGTGCGGGTCGTCCGATGTATACTCTTTGAGAACTATTAACTGAGTTTAGAAACTCTAAGAGTTTGTCAGTTTTGATATATGTCGTGTCTTCAACTCGCATAAACCATTCATAGTTATTGATGAAATGCTCATACATATATTTTAACATTTTAAAAGACAATTTGAGTTTAGGAGCTGTGTCTTCTTCAGAATCAACATCAAGTTGGACAACGGGGATCCCAAGTACTTTTGTATATTTATCGTGGAATTCAGCATCCCGAGAATAGGGGATGAAAAATAGAATCCTTGGTAGATCTGGTGCCCAGGTATTATTTATAGCAAGTACTAGTGAATCGAGACGGTCTTCCGAAGTCAAAACACCAACCAACAATTTATCTCTCTTGCCGAGTTCACTAGCGATATAAAATGGACGTAAACCATCATTAAAATGACTTGGTTTAGGCGCAACAGTTGCATGTTCATTTTTTTCAGGCGCAGACTGTGTGACGACTGTATTGTGGTTTTCCCCTACGGGATCGTATTGAWCGCGAAGTTTCAAATTTCGTTGTTTCATCAGATAAGCCTGCGACTCCTCCAGATCGTACAGACATTGTTGTTCTACTATAGGAATATAGAACATCGATAAAGCAAATCCTAAACTCACTCCAATGATCGCKGGAATAACGGGCCGAAATCGTATCCACGATCGAACTGATTTCATCTTCTTGCGATGTCTGAAGCCGGACGTGTCACGTTGGTTGAAGGAACKCGTAYCGGAGAACTCTCCTATATGAAAAGCTTTACGATGGAAAGCTTCCATGATAGCTTAAATCCATTCTAACTTTCTTGGTTATCTATGGAATTCCACCTACACACTGTTTAAACAACAGCTCTGTGCAAACATTGTTCATCTTCATGTAAATTAGGTTTGCCAGCAGCTACGAGAAGACAGAGGCAATGATCTCCCATTGGTTGACTCGATATCATTTATTCATGAACATCAACCCGTTGTTCTTTTGATGGCATAGTTGGACGTAAACTGGAGTAGAAATTCGCTGGTGACCACTCAGGTGGTTGGTGACCCTTTCTAAACGGCTACTCGTCAATTCGGCCCTTTTGCCTGGAAAATAGTCACATATTAACAAAAAGGATTGGACATCTTGCTTGATTTAAAGTCATGCATTTTTCACAGCTTTAAGTGTAGTTAGGGGTGGCTCTAGTTTAGAACACCAAATACGATTTTTATGGCTGCAAAGTATCTGCTGTCACCAAATAAAAGTGCCTTGCATTGTGTGCTCTTGTTGATTCATTGGACCGCTGCAACAGGTTTTGGAGGTCCGTTGGCTCAAAGAGCCAACATTCGAAAATTTCATCTAAAAAGTCTACTTTTCAAAACTTGTTTCCTTGCTAGGAAAGTCAGAGATATCAATTGGACCA